GGGGGCTCCGGGCGGGCGCGGGGATGGGGGTCTATGGGGGGTCTTTGCCCCCTCCCCGCGCCGTTCCCCCTTTCCCCTCCCGGGCCTGCCCCGCTCCCCGCGCTCACTCCCGGCGTGTCGCTCCCGCAGATTCCAGCGTGAAGAAGAAGAGGAAGAAGGACAAGCGGGCGCTCGCCGACGAGGATGTCGCGGTGAGAGGCGGGGGGGGAAAGGAGTTGCAATCTGCCCGGGCCGGGTTTGGGGGGCCGGGTGGGGGCTCCCCCAGACCCATCCGTGGGGACGCGGTGGGATGGTTGGTGGGGAGCGTGGGTAGGGCTGGGATGGGTTTGTCCCGCGCCGTTCCAGGAGGGAGCGCGGCCGCCCCACGTGGATGCGGCTGCGGAGCCTCCCGGGCCACGTGGAGGCGGCGGGAGCGCGGCCTGCCCGCCTTCCCCGCTCTCATCCCGCTGAACTCTGTCCCCACGCAGGACATCCAGCACACCGAGGACTTTCTCATCAAGCCCGCGTCCCGGGTGCCCCAGCTGGACACGTCGCAGTGGCCCTTGCTGCTGAAGGTATGGCAGGGTCTGCTCGGCCTCGTGGTCCGCCCTCGCTCCCGCTCCTTTTGTCCTCTGCCCGTGGCAGGGCACTGCTGCTTTGTGTGACCCCACTGCGTGCAGAAATCACGTTATAAAGCCTGGCCAGCAGTACTTTCATGCCTATTTTATAAGTTTACCGTGCCAGATTTCTTGAGCTTTTTGTTTGGGCCTGGCCATGCTCTGTGATGTGTGCAGACTCCAAGGTTGCTTGTGCTGAGTTTCTGGGGCATACTGGATTTATCCTCTGCAGTAAAGATGTATATTCTGCTGCTTTCCCATCTATTTCAGCCCAAGATTTGTTTGTTTCTTTCTCTGTGAAACATTGAGGTTTCATTGTCGGGTCTGTTTGATTCTGGAAGTGGCTCTGACGTTTACAAATCAGATCTTGTGTACCTGGGGGAGATGTATTGCAGGAAAGCAATGCTGAAACCAGGGTGAGCTCAGGAAGATTTGTAACTTCTGCTTCTGCTGGGATTTTGCAGAACTTCGACAAGTTAAATGTGAGGACAGCACACTACACACCTCTGCCTTCCGGTGCTAATCCTCTGAAGAGAGAGATTTCTGATTATGTTAGGTGAGTGCAATAAGGGCCAGAGTGGTTCGTTTTCTTTCACAGTTAATACCTTCAAAACATTTTCTGGCTGGGTTCCTTCCCTTGTGCCTTTGTGCTTGACTCAGTGCTTTGCCTGTAATCAGTGAACATATAATATAAAGTTTGCTTTCTTTCTGGGCCTTTGGCTGGTCTGTGGATGAACGTGCAAACACCTGAGGTACTCTCTGAGGTCTTTGGAAAAGTCCTTTGGCCTGCTAGGCTTTGAGACTGCTTGGAGTTTGGTTTCTTCTAAGTGCAGAGCAGTCAGGGGAGAGGAGAATTCCTTGACCATGGAATACATCGCCTGTTTTGCACTCTTGCTGTGTTTGCCTCTATGCTTAGCCCCTGTTCTTTGCCATCTTGCGCTGCAGGTCTGGCTTTATTAACCTCGACAAACCTTCCAATCCATCCTCCCACGAGGTGGTTGCGTGGATCCGCCGCATCCTCCGAGTGGAGAAGACGGGCCACA